CGCCAAGTGGTTGGTAGGAGGGGGGGGTGGCTAGTAGTAGTAGTAGTAGTAGTAGTAGTAGTAGGAGTAGGGGTAGGAGCAGTAGTAGTAGTAGTAGTAGTAGTAGTAGAAGTAGTAGTAGTAGTAGTAGTTGTTGTTGTAGTGGTAGTAGTAGTGGTAGTAGTAGTAGAAGTAGCAAAAGTAGTAGTAGTAGTAGTAGTAGTAGCAGCAGCAGCAGCAGTAGTCGTGGTGGTGGTGGTGGTGGTGGTGGTGGTAGTGCTGGTAGTGGTAGTACTGGTAGTGCTGGTAGTGGTAGTGCTGGTAGTGGCAGTGGTAGTGGTAGTAGCAGCAGCAGCAGCAGCGGCAGCAGGCTACCTTGTCACGTGACATGGGTGGCGAGCCCCAAGCCGGCTGGAACGTCACGAAGACCTACGGCCCGGTTTATCTATTTCGGGAGTATCACAGCAAGGCGCACAAAAAACCCCAAGCTGGTCGTCGCTGTTTAAGCTGAGACAGGGCCATGACAGCTCGACAGGTTTTCTGGTCGGGGCGCTTTTCTCCCAGATGTGGGAACATGAAGACACAAAGCATCTCTTCACCGAGGACTGCAAATCCTTTGACCTCGTGGCTTCTACTGTTGTCACCGTCTACAGTCATGCTCAGCATGATCCGATGCAAATACCCAGACCTGTGAGTCCGTATATTTCATGATGCACAAGCACCACCCAAAAAAGGCTATGTTTCGGATCGTCAAAAGCGAAACAAACAACATTGGGCCATATTGGGCCCAGGCGCAAGCCAACAAACGCCCCAAAGAGGCTGCCTCCTCCTCGGATGCCAGATGAACAATGGTCTGAGCACTGGTCCTGGAGCTGCTGGAGTTGGAACCAGGGCTGTGAGGAGGAGGATGAGGAGGAGCAGTGCTCTGAGCAGGAGCGCTGGTATCGACATGGGTACCAATCGTATGGCCACCGCTGAATCAAAGCAAAATGGCACAGCCTTTACATAATGCAGGCACAGCCTGATCAACTCATCTTTTTCTTGTTGCCGCAAACTCGCCGGCCTAAGGCTCTTTGATTGCGTTCAGGCCAGCCGTACATTGCATTTTGCACCAGCCAATGCACGATCGCTGACACAGCTGCTGCCTTTCACATTGAGCTCCTGTTAGCGCTTTTTTTGCATAGGCGAGGTGTCACTCGCGACCAGTGCCCCGCCGACTTGTCAAAAATACAGCTGCGCCGGGAGGCTTGCACTTCAGGCAGTTAGATGTGGCTTTACCTATGACATAAAGGCGCGTTGCACGTGTCAGGTGCATGCAGGTGCGTGCATGCATCTTGCGTCGCAACAGGCACCAGCAGCATTCTTCCCGTAATCCTTACGGCCCATCGCCATTGCCTGAGAATGACCTAGCTTGGGAAGCCACTAGACTGGCACTCAGGGACACGGCTTAGCTGTCGCCTGCAAACGCTGAGTACGACCCATCAGTTCGTGAGCATCGGACGCGTTGGCTCACACTGAGGGTGACGGAGGATTACGTAATTTGATGTTTCGCCACGCCCAGAGCACGCTCGATTTGCGTCCGACCCAAAAATTGCTGTTGTTGCCGCATGTTGTCGTGTTTTATTTGGGTTGTTCGTGTGTTGCTTATTGTTGGTGCACGATCATGGTGGTGATGCGGGGCGTGCTTCATGTTCTGTATATGTCGATGTTTTCCCTTCCAAAGCCTCAGGCACGATGGCATCGTTGGGCTATCATGCCGTCATTGGGCCCAAGCCGTCGGTGCCTCCGGCTGCAAGTACAACTCGGAGAGCCGACTCGAAGCTGTAGATGTGCAGTTCCAGAGTGCGAATTTTGTTGGTCGGATCTGAGGTGATGGACTTGCTGCGGCGAGGTGGCCTTGGTCGCATGTGGGTCACAAGTTCCAAACACGTTTGGGTTCTCAGCCCTTTGGTGGGGTGCAAGTTGAAGGAAGCATGCCTGTCCCAAACTTAACATGCTGTTGGCCACAGCACAATTCCACCATCATAGCCTTGAAAGCAACTTTTGCAAGATGGGATTATTCGTAGTTCGCGTTGCAAAGGAAAATGGACCGACAGCGGATTGGTCATTTTCAGCCGGCTGCCAATTGCGGAGACGCGATCAATTCGCTTCGAGTCGGGGGCTGCTTTGGATGCTGGTGCCTGCAAAGGCCGTGAATGGGTGGGAAAGAAGGTTTGATTGCGTTCAACCTTCGTGCTTTGAGGCGCCAGTCGATGGAACAACTCAGCATAGGATTAGGATTAGGGAGTGGTAGCAGTTGTCAGGTGCCATGTGGGCGCGAGTGGAACTGGCGTCAGGACGATATTTGGATGTGTCGCTCGGGTGCAGCAAACAAGTCTCCAAATCACCTTGTGCTTCTCCAGACCCAAAGCAGCCCCGGAAACTCTGGGTGGCTCAGCTCCGCACCGGCTTTGAGCTTCATTGCTTGAATGCCCCACGACAAGCCAATGCGAGGTTCAACTGCCACCTCCAAGCCTCACACACGGGCGCGGATGGTGAGGTTTTCGATCGGATCCGCCGGTCGCAATTAAAGGCCCCCTGACTTCCGTTGCAAACCAGACATGCAGTTGGTCAAGATCGCAACTGGTTTCGGCATTGTTGAGTCCGTAGTAGCCGTAGTAGCAGATTCCAACGATGATGCATGAAAAATTAATATTCGCTTGTTTCACTTGAAGTACGACGGATATACGATGCGGCAAGTGTTGGGAGTCATTAGCTTGCTTACGAACTTTGGAATGTTCCACACGATCAGTTCAGGATTCATGTCGAAACGTCAAAGGAACTCTGCTGAGCTGTTAGCGCAAAGTATCCGTGAAAGATGGCTACCGTTCAGCTGCTTAGCTAGTTGCCTGCTTTGCGCCCTTTTTTTCCGGCTGCAGAAGTGCGTGCACTAAGTGCACTCCATCCTGTCGCAGGAGCTTCGAGAATTCATTGAGCTCGCTGGCACGGAACATCCATATGCCGCCTTGCGGCACCTAGTGGGGCGTTCGTTGTTCGACGGCTTTGCAGGGTGCAGAACCAGCAACCCTGATGGATGGAGGGCATCGTAATGCAGACCATAGTCACACACGACGCCCACACCGCGCCGATTTGAAGCCTCTTCGAACTGCCATGATTGAAATGGATATCTCCGGCTCAGAACAGTCTGAAGCCAGCTTTTTCACTGACATTACGAGGGCCACTGTCGGAAGGTAGTAGGTGCAGCGGAGCTTTTCGATCTCGCATGCCGCCGCGTCCCCTTGAGTCGGGGGTCGCTTGCAGCACTGCGGGACCTGCAAAATGGGGCTTGGTGTATTCGTCGAGCTCGCATTCGTACCTTGGCCTGTCTCCTGCACCCAACATCCCGAGGTCCTCACTGGTGATTTCAACGTCGACGCTATTCCGGAACCCTCGGACCCCATGGGCACGTACGGGATACCCTTCCGCCCGCCACGCCAGGTGGGACACTTTAGCCCGCTTGAGCTTTGTGTCGTTGCTCAACCGTGATTGCATTTGATACAAGCTGCAGGATCACAAGAGTAGAATCCACTGACAGTCTACAGATCCTGCTGTTTTCAATCCTTGCTGGAGCTGGCAGGGTTTATTGGGACTGGGGCGGTCGGAAGCCTTGAACTGCACGTCCGCCAGGAGTCGGAGGACTACCAACGCCTCCTCCATTCCCTGGACCCACGCGGACGGCTGGTGGATCTCCTCTGTGGGCCTACGCCTCAAGATCCCCTCGGGAAGGCTGGAGCAAACCCAAAGCGAGCCCAACGTTCAAGAAGGGTAGGTGCGGATCATGTTTTGTCCCAAACCTCGGTAGAGCGTTTAAGCTTTGAGTGCTCAGTTAAAAATTTCGATTCAGGGATCCTGTTTGGAGGGCTCATGCATCCAGGAGCTAAGAAGTCACAGTCATTGACCCTGCTTCAGCTGCAGCGGGGCCTGAACTCGGATGTCGGAGCTTCAGGCATCTTGAGGCCTTGAAGCTCTAGTTTTGCGTGCTACGCCGTAGCCCTCGAATGCTTGAGGCTCTGAATTCCCACCTCGTAGCTTTCATAGTTTTGGACACGAACTCTCAGGTGGGAAGACTTCTACAAGCTCCTTCCTACCCCAAATCCCCCACCCGTGTACTCGCCTCTGCAGGAGTCACCGTCATTCCGGCACCATCCTTGCACCCGACCACCGCGTTTGCGGATGCCCTCCTCCGCAGGTCGAAGTGCAGCAATGGTGTTACAGGGATCCCTCTCGGGCTTTATACATTAGACGGTTGCATGACCCCTTCTCCTTTCACAGACCAGTTCAGCATCGTCTATGTGTATGTGTCATGTGAAGGCTATGTGGCGCGACATAAGTACCCACAGCGGCTGGATTACGAGCCTAGTCTGGTCGGAGCATTTATGAGTTTTCTTACGTAGGAGCTTTCGTTTTGAAGACATGGTGCATGATCCAGACAACCACCTCTTACATAATTCGCAGTGATGCAGACAGGTCTTCTATCGACCTACGCTCACCTCACTGGTGGAGCATGCTCACTCGGATGTAGAGCCCTTTGAAGTGAGTGGTCAGCCGTTTGAATATCTGAGCGATCACTTTGGCATTCGAGCTCACTTTCGATTCCGCTGCAGCTTCGCATGGGCGCGCGACCCCCCCAAGTGTAAACCAAATGAACCGTCGCTCCTGCGGAAGGCAGTGGATGCCCTGTGGAAGCGATGGTTCGAAGGATCACTGCTGCTTGGCCTTTTGCCGGCAGCTTATCTTCAAGTGCGGAAGGCAGAGCTCCTGCAAGACGTCCTTCGAAGGCCGTTCAGCAGACTTGGTGTCCCTCTCGCGCTCCAGCCTACTCTACTGCAGTACGGCTTCCCTCTGGCCTGCGCTGGCGGCTGTGGGCTGCTCTTATTGTTTCGGCGACGCTTGCGCGAGGAGGAGCGGCCTCCTTTGGAGCGCACGCTTTCCATGACCGCAGAGTTGGCCTCGTCAGCTTTCCGACGGCGGCTGCAGGCCCAGTCGGAACGGCCAGCCAAGACCATTGCCTCCAGCCCCTACGACAGCTTCAATGGATCCGTGGAGTCCTACCGGCTACGGCCCTGCATTGGGCGACGGCCTCTGAACTCGGATGGTACTTTGGGAGAGTACACCTGGCTGAGCTATGGTGATGCACAGTTCGAAGTCCTGCGGATCTCCTCAGGCCTTCACCGGAAGTTCGGACTCAAGCGCAACGCTCAGGTGGGCCTCTTAGGCGATGCCTCGGCAGACTGGCTTCTCTGTGACTTGGCTTTGATGCGCCTGGGTGCCAACACCGTCTGCCTCGCAGCCCCTGCTTCAAATCCGACCTCGAGCACGACGGCTCCGGTGCCCAGCAGCGTGCAAGACCTAGAGCTCCTCCTGTGCTCCTCGGATTGGGTGGAGTACTTCGTGGCTTCCAGGCGAAACGAGGAACTGCCCCGCTGTCCCATTGTCACCTTCACGCCACTCACACCTCGCCTGGCGGCTATGGCCCAGCACCGGAACCTGAATGTCTGGGACCTACCCTTCATCGCCAACTTTGGCGAGGTCGCCGGCTGGGTGCCCTATGTAGGCGCCTTCCACCCTTTAGCGGACTTTCTCGTTTTCGCTGCTTAAGGGCAAGCTGCAGTGGCCCACGACTCGCATGCCCGTTTGCTTGAAAGGTGTCGGGGGCTTCGATGTCATGACGACCATGTACCGTTCGAGGTCAGGAACGAAGAGTGAGCTGGCTGGGGTTTCGGTGAGCTTGCGCCTCGGAAGCATGATGCCTCGGGCCCTCGGCGTGCAAGCTCCTGCTCCGCAGCCCTTTCAGCCGAGGAGGGGCTTGGCTATGTGTGCTCATCAGATCCGCCAAGCACTGGGCCTTCGCAACGACGACCGGCCCCGATGCTCAGATGCTGAGAGTATCTGGGAGTGGTAGAGAGTATGGGCATTGAGAGGAGGACCACAACGCAGCTCGAAGCTCTCCTGGATGGTGCTGTTTTGAGAGTTCAACTTGTTCTTATGAGGCACTTCAGCTACATCTGGCCGGCCTTTACTGCGGAGCGAGTGGTGCTCACCTCGCTGCGTTGTGCACAGAGCAGTCGCAGAAAGACATGGCTAAATCGAGACATGTGCTGTCCACAGTCAGGCCAAACCCGCGTCAGCACATGAGCGTAGGATCGGCCGGCAGTCGTGTGGTTTAGAGGTGCTCCATGCCGTGCTGGCTGCTGGGGGTGCCGTGGGCTTCTTTGGGGGAGTGCGCTCTCCGCGGATCTTCGAGGAAAGCCGAGGTATTCTACTACTACTACTACGACGACGACGACTACTACTACTACTACTGCTACTGCTGCAGTGTGCCGTGAATTTAGAGCAACTACTTGAGCAAGATTGCCGGCAGTCTCGGTGATCTTGCCCCACTTGAAGGGGGTGG